ACTTGTTTCACCTTATATGCAATGATAAAGGGATCATAAAGTCTATACTGCCCGTGTTAATTTCAATTATTTTGTATTGAGCGTGCACCTTTGTACCTCTATTCGGTGTTGGATCATACCATTTATATCAAAAGAGTACCAACTTTTTCTTCTGCCAACCTACAACATACCCCATTTCCAAAATATCTTGAAGCACACCATAATAATCAACATCTCCATCACCTTTCACCTACACCCCACTATTGTTGGTTTTCTTTCCATTAGACCATTCTTCTGTATGAAACTTGTACCCATTNTCTTTCCCATATGTACCCACAAAGTAACTCCCAGTATAACATTTATTAGTTAAATAAGTGATAGATCTAACATAAAAGTCCGTAATATATACGAATATATACTTACCTATAATAAGGTTGGACCTCAGGGCAATTCAATAATACATGTGTTGTAGCTGACTTTAGCTCCATCTTTGTAATGCTATCCCCAAATTAGTATGTAATTTACCAACATATAACTTTAACATATAAGTTTAATATAGAACCCTAAATTACCAACATATAACTTTAACATATAAATTTAATTTAGCAACATATGACTCTAAATTACCAGCATATAACTTTAACATATAAGTTTAATATAGAACCCTAAATTACCAACATATAACTTTAACATATAACTCTAAATTACCAGCATATAACTTGAACATATAAGTTTAATATAGAACCCTAAATTACCAACATATAACTTTAACATATAACTCTAAATTACCAACATATAACTCTAAATTACCAACATATAACTTTAATTTAGCTACTAACAATAGTCATAGATTTACTTTAGCTAACATCAATCAATTTTTACAAACCAAACTAGGAGCAATTAAACAAAATCAGTGTATTTTTTAAAAAAGAAGGAGGGTAAGGGAAACTTATCTGGTAGTGGAGGGTCGTCGACGGACCTGCAGCTGGGCGCCTGCGAGTGCTGCTGGTTGATGGCAGCGGCGAGTTTGGGTGGTGGG